GGTACTTTTTATCCCGGAAAATTTTGATATTACCGAGGGAAAACAAAAATATTGATATAGATGACGCTGTGTATTGGTATAGATGTCGCTGTATGTCATTTAACTGATCGAGTATTATTAGAGCTTGGTGTTTGACAGTTTAAAACCAGTCAACGAATAAACGGCAGAATGGAGGTACTAATTAACGTGATTTTTTAACTGATGGTAGTTGAAGGGATGGATTGTCACATAGGCTACTTTTTATCCATTTGTGACGCGAGCGAAGCCGCGGGTAAAAGCTAGTAATAAAATAAATATACAGCGTGTCCAGTAAATAGTGCATTATACTGTAAGGGGTGATAGCTGAGATTAATACCTACCTAAACAACTCGAATGTATGTTCAGCGAAAATGTACGGTTTATATTATATTGTATCATCAACAGCCTATAAATGCCCACTGCTGAGCAAAGCCTCTTCTCACACGGAGAAGGTTAGAGCATTAATCACCACGCTTGCTCAATGCGGGTTGGCGATTTCAAACTTATAATTAGAAATTATAAGTCCAGGTTTCCTCACGATGTTTTTCCTTCACCGTTTGTCAGTGGTGTCTAAATAATCTTAGAAAGTACATATAACTCGGAAAAAGTCACATTGGTACTTGCCGTTGGTAGGTTTCGAACCCGCACCCTCATGCATGAGAAGTGGGCGTCTTAAACCTCCGGGCCACCACGACATCCCACGACATCCCATATATTGTATGGTCGTCAAGATTAAGAGTGTGTATTGTATCAAATATCAGGGTGCTTACTCTTGAAACCGATCTCAATGTCAATGCAATTGCAATCCAATGAAAACTCAATAATTATTTAATGTCAAAACCATATAACCCCTATCGTAGCTGTTAAAATAGCATTCAGAGTATAGAATATAAAACCAAACTCAATACCATTTAGTTCATTCAATATCCACGCAATACGGATGCAATGGACGCTAGTGTTGCAACTCAAGAGTACGAAATTTCACAATACCAATGTCGATCGATCGGAATTGGATTCAAGAGTAAGCCCCCAGATCGATCTGTCTCCAGGAAGGGGTGAAATTGTATTTACTAAATTGGACCCCTAAAAACAGAAAAACTAAACTAAATGAAATCGTACAAACAAGTATAGCCTACTTCATTAATACTTCTGTATCTTCATACACAATGCACATGCGTTTACGCACCAATCGCTGCCGATATAAAAACTAAAGCATATCGATTTGACGAGCTCGTTAAAAAAAATTTTTTGCTTATTTATGTTTCACGTTTTGTAGTTGCAATACTATTGAATACGAGTCCATTTTACACAATTAACTAGCTTCCTGCCTGCGACTTCGCCTATATTTCGTAGGTTTCTGTCGAGTAGGTCCTGGTTCTTTAGGAATCTTATCTTATACTATTATATAAAGCGGAAAAGTTTGTTTTTTTGTTTGAACGCGCTAACCTCCGTAACTACAAGTCTGATTTGAATTATTCTTTTTGTGTTGGATATCGCATTTATCGAAGATGGCTATAAACTCAAACTCAAAAGCATTTATTTCAATTTAACCACTAACTTTTGAAACGTCAACAAATACAAAATAAATAATAGTCTGTCAGTCTGTCCGTCAGTAAAGTTAAGCGCTCGTTCCAAAATGTCGATTCGAGTGGAGAAGAACGAGCAAGAAACTCCATTCGTTACTCTTTTAAAAAAAAGTCTGTTTTACATTGCTCTGATACATATTCCAATATTGTACACACATGTGAGAATAATGTAAAGACATACCTGACGCAACATACAAATAACAGAACATACTAAAATAGAAAAAAAAAA